CACAAGGTCCGAAGTATAAAGATGTGTTGGACTACGCATATTTTGAATAAAACCAATCGAGACAAAGATGGCATTAAAGGCTGCATTTAAGGTACCACCTTCAATGTCGGCAGAAATATAAAAATCGCCCACTACAGTATAATAAAGCTCAAGTATTTAACAATAAATCTGATAGTGGAGAGTAAGGACCTGGTGGATGATAAAAAATTACAAACTGAAATTGTTTTGTTGCTTTACAATTTAAATGCAGGAACTAAGGGTTAAATGTTCCAAATATTTGGCACTATTAACTGGTTTTGGACTAATCAATAAATCAGACTGATAGATTTATTTCCTTCTCCTAGTTCTCCTCCTGTCAGCCAGGGAATATGGAGCTTAGGCTACATTTAACATTTGAATGGTAGGGTTAAGATTTGGCATAACTTTAAAAGCATGGATCCATCTGGCTTGGATTAATGATCCACAGTGTACTGTTGTTTAATGGTGACTTCTAGTAGATAATGTAGTAGGTTTTACATACTAATTGATTATATGAGTGTGGCTGTACTGTACGTGCACAGTAATCTAGGGACCTCTGAGATAATCTAACACATTGCAGGATCTTTAGGATGCTGTTGAACAGTAAAATTGAAAAAAATCATCTAAACCACAGCATTCTTTCATAAACAGAAATCTTTAAGTCTTTTTTTTTTTGCTGAATTTCTTTTACAGATGATATATCTGATAAATTAGCACTCCCTTACAACACTACTATCTGCACACAATAAATATAAATAAATAATGTAGGAGATGGCTGTTTTTTTTTCTGGAATAAGTTTTCAGAGGGACTATAGTTTAACTTAAAAGATGCTGCAATTCATCTTCAGTGTCATGTATTGTTCATGCTAAGGCAGCGCCCAAGGAATAAAAACATTGATCCTTAATCAGAAGTTAAAAAAAAAATGTCTAAGGCAGGAAATTAAAGAAGGAGGGATAAGAGACTGCAGTTAGGCATTACCTCTCTCAGCGATGGCACTTATTTATAATGTATGGCATCCTCCAAAGCTTGAGACGTCTGCTTTTGTCTCACTATCGATTCACTCTCCCTCCATTCATCTTCCTTACGCCCTCTCAATAAGTTTCATTATCTTTCCAGCTTATTCTCTCTTATTAGCATATCTTTCATAATTTCTTCTGAAATGGAGAGACCCTCCCCATGTTTATTATTTTCTTCATTTACGTCCAGTTTGCCTTCTGCCTTGTAATTGTGTTTTTTCTCTCACCACCTTTTTTTCTGCTCATATCTCCTGTCTTTTTTCCAGCATTATCCCTTTTTGAATAGATTTATTTCTTTTCATTTTGGCTTTGTTTCCATTTTCTGATTTCAGTCTTTCAGTTCGATCACGTTCTCGTTTCACACTTTTTACATTTAAACTGAACATGAGTTATACATGACTTCCTGTTGATAAGTAAAATTTCCATAATGGTATATTTTCTACTCAGGAATCTAATTTATTTTATTCTTTTCACCATCCAATAAAATGTGATTGTACGCCACTCTAAAGAGAGAAAAGCGGTGAGCAGGACAGAGGATTATAAAAGGTTTGTGTTAAGCTTTATTGGAGGTGAGAAAACCAAATCTGAAAGGAAATCTAAACTTACCGATGCGTGCACACATCCAATCTGCAGAACACATACAGGTACAACACATCTCAGAGCGAGAACTAGAAGTTATTATGCCTTTGCTGTCATAGCTCATAAACATGCTGCCTGAGGAAATATAACTTCAAGAAATCTGTATAGACAACTCTTGGGTTAGCTGCACAGTTTGCGCATCCTGTGGAGGTGCTGTAAGCTATTTTGTTCAATAAAACATTATCATGGGTAAGCAAGTACCAGTATTTCAAAAGAAATTCACAAGCTGTTTCAGCAAAGAAATGTAAATACTAAAGTTATTATTAACCCTTTAATGCAAAGTGGTCTCTAAAATGTCATTTTCATATATATGCATGTTGATGTTAAAAGTTCAATGTACTTTAATGGACTTAAGTGAGACACTTAAAGGTATGTGGAGGGCTTTTGCTAATTTTTGAAAAGACCAGTCCTCTCCACTTTAAAAGCAATGCACATGCACAACCCTGTACCTGCTCCGGAGAGGGAACGCCTATCAAATGCGTGCAAGAGCATGCACAAGCCCATTTCTCCTCGTGCATACTCTATTTTAAAGTTGCTGTTCTAAAAGCTAATGCAAGCTTACTATGTCCCAACATATGCCCTAACCCCTAAAACCCTCATACACTGTATAGAGCGGGGGACTATATATTGAACTTAATAGTGAACTCAGTTAACTGACCGTTTGCACATATGATCACTACCTTTAACTTCCCGTTGGTCACATAACTCCTCCTCCACTGCACGGTGCTTGCGCCATATTTGTTATTAGTCGTGGGCCGCTGTGACAGCAAATCCCATAAATTTTTGCGAGTAGATTTCTTTGCGCAAAGCCTTCTGGGATATATCTGCCTCCTCTGAGGCTTTTCTATTCTTCTCACACACTTCATAGACACTTTTTCTCTTACAATCCTCAGCCATTTTCAAAGAACCGCAGTGAGAACGGTGACCTTCAATGACTGGCTGAAACCGTAGCTTACCACATATAAATGCCTGAAAGTGTGCAAATACAGAAAAAAAATAGCTAACTGGGGATGAGCACATAGGGCTGACCCATGATCCACCCGTAAATAAAAGATTGTCCTCGATATTTTTAATACCTTTCTGCTTACTAGTAAAACAGTGTAGGAGCAGAGGAAAACATTATCAGGATGAGGGTGTGAGAGCATTATACAGATCCTGGTAGTTAAACATTTCAACTAAGTGCTTTAGATATTTTTTGATTACATCAGCACAGTATTTGTGTGTGTGGGGGGGGGATTGCTATCAATATTTCAGCAATCAAAGGTGGGATGGTGCTTAATTTCATTTCAAATGAAAATTTGCAACTTAAATGAAACCCATAGTTTTTGTAATCAAATGGATTTACACTATTTTAAAGATTAGTTAGGTTGTTTGATTTAAGTCCTCATTTATCCTAGGAAGTTGCTACCCATCACAGACTTAAAAAAAAAAGTTTAGATACAAAAGATAAGAAATATCCTTTTGTTCTGTATTCAAGGTTCCTGTTTGTTTTCAGTAAATAACCTAATGATGGATTTTGGATCCTGATTTTGTTTTCTATTCTTTAGATGTGTTTTCCTTTGGGGGAAAAGGGCCCATGTAATAACATATATGAACCATTTTATTGAATTTTAAGCCTTTTTATTTTCTACTTATTCCAGGAAGTGCCGGTACACCAGTAATGTTCAACGAGAATGGAGATGCTCCGGGAAGATATGACATTTTCCAGTACCAGATTACAAACAGATCCACAGCTGAGTACAGAGTCATTGGCTCCTGGACCAACAAATTACATCTGAGGGTGAGTTTTTTTCACAAACATCTACAAGCATTTTATCACTCTGTTCCTGACAGACCAGAAGATCCCAGTCAGATCAACTTACAGAAATAAAAGAAACATGAAAGCCCTAAATATTAAGTAAGGGTAATTAAAATGGTCAGTCTTTCTTGATATCATCGGACAAAGTTCAGTTTTGTTTAACACCATATACTTGCACAGCATAAGCCATTTTATTTTCCTTTTTGCAAATCAGTGTAAAATATAACAATAAACGTTTTTTTCATGTACTAATTTTCATAACAAGTTTAATGGATACAAAAGTATGGATATTATTTATACCATATAAACAGGCTTTAACACTAGCTTAAAGTGCAGTATATATATATATATATATGAGCACAATGTGGAGACGTTCACAGTAACCTGAATGCCTGTTAATGTAAATGGAAGGCGACAGTGGTGGTGTGAGGAGGAGTTTGCCCTGTAATCAGAGGATTGTCGGTTCGAGACCCAGCTCCCACTTTCAGTGTCGTTGTGTCCTTTGGCAAGACACTTCACCTCAGTGTGAGGTGTGAAAAAGTGCTTTATAAGGACAGGCCATTTTACCATTTACCATAAATGTCACTCAGATTGGTTCTCAGTCAAACATGCATTTTAAGATAATTTATCCAAGTTTTTCTCTCAAAAGTCTTGTTTTCATTTCCGTATATAGAGCTTTATCAATTTAAAGTCATTAAATGTAAGTTAGGGTTTCCATTGAGCCATTGAAACAGTAAGCATCCAGCAGTCCATCAATCACAGGGTCTAGACAGGGCTGTAGTTTCTCCCAGCAGTAGTTCAGCCAGCGACAGATGACACCCTGCGCATCAATACACAAGCACTGAGTGATGGATTTTTTTATTTTTTTTTTAAGGAGTCCATAAAATAAATATGGCTTAAACTTGCAAAGATGTTTCACACTGAATCTTCACACTTTCTGAATTCACGGCTAAACTGGATCACCTTTGACGTCTGTGAAAAAAATCCATCTGCTTTGTGCCGTGTTAAAACTTTTTTTTAATTATTTTTAGAGCTCATACAAACCAAGCTGGCACATTTTCAATGTTGATATATTTTTCCTCTGACTCATCTTGGTGGCAACATTTAAAGTCACCCTGGTTACACAAGGCAGTACTGGTGTGCCTCCATTTTCTCTGGGTTTTTCTACAACCCTGCTTTGTTGCTGCTGCATTAAAATCTGCTGTAAGTAATTTCAACTATTTGAAAATCAATTAAACACACAGTAAACAGTAGATATTAACAGTGGATGTTTGTTATCCTGTCCTAACATATATACATGTCTCATTGTAAGGATTGGTTTTCTAAGTTTAATGTTAAAAAATGGTAAATGTACTTATTCTGCATGAATATGCTCTTTTATATCAATGACATTTATTTGTAGTCTTCAGGCTTTCGAGTCTTTAAAATGCAAGAACTTTTTTTTATAAGAAAAAAACAAAAAAATGCAAGAACTTGCACATGAATTCTGTTTGCCAGCATTATTAATAAACATTATAAATTATGTTATTATCCAACAGTTACTCAGTACTCCAGCAGCCTCTTTACCGAATACTTTTTTATATTACTTGAATCAATGAATAAATGAATAGAACTTATTGATCTCACAATGGAGACATTCACTTGTGACATAGGTTCATATAAACAAACTGGAGGTGCACAATGGAGGAAAAGGTGCATGAAGTTTATACAGTGTATCCAAAAATATACAATGGATGTTAGAAAATAAAGGAGAGATATAAGGCGACATAAGGCTTGGACCTCCTCTTGGCCACTTCCTTCACCAGAGCGCAGCCTAGGATAGAAGTGGCCTCCTCACCAACTTATTCAGTCTCTTTCTGTCCTGCCTGGCAGTATGGAGGGGGGCCGATGCCACCACAGAGTCATAGAAGGTTTTAAGCAGGGGCCAGCTCACTCCAAAGGACCTCATTCTCCTCTGGAGGTGGAGTGAGCTCTGGCCATTCCTGTACAGGGCTTTGGTGTTATGAGTCCATTCGAGTTTATCGTTGAGAGGAACCCCCATGTATTTGAAATTATCCACAGTTTTTATGACCTGCACCTCGATGTTCATGGGATAGTGAGGTTAGGGTCTACTCCTGAAGTTGATCACCATCTCCTTGGTCTTACTGGTGTTTAAACACATGTGCTTGTTCTCATACCAGTCCATGATGACCGTCCGGTACTCCAGCTCATTCCCCTCAGACACACAGCCCAGAATGGCCGAGTTATCTGAGGACCTACTGTTGTAGGTGAAGTGCGAGTATAGTGGTTAAGAGAAATTGAGACAGAACGGTGCCATGGGGGGTCCCGGTGCTGCAGGCTGCCACCTCTGACTTGACAGCCATGCAGCTACATTTACTGAGGGCGGTCATTGGGGTAGATGATGTCCAGGCAGCAATATGTTTGTCCACTCCAGTGTCCTCCAGCTTCCCCAGCAGTACTGATCTGATGATGTTGAAAGCACTGGAGAAGTCAGTTATTTGAATAAGAAAATGATAAAGAAGTGCTACTCTTCCTTGAGTACATTTTATTGGCACTCCACCCACCTCTGATCTTAGTAAAGCATTCCTAAAACGACCTTTAAAGCTTCTAAGAAGTATGCCAGGGGTCTGTCTGTTTTGCTTTGTCATGAGGATAACATTGTTTTTTTACTTTTATAGGAAAAAATAGCCTTTTATGAGATAATCTAAAAGCTAAACTTCACACAGTGACTCTGTCACTCTGTGACCATGATGCACATATATCAGATTAAGAATACATTTAATGTGCTTAAGGATGCTGAAGTTTTGTGTTATTAATCCACACAGGGCTTCATTATAGAAACCCAAATGGCAGATGATGTGACTAATAAACACCAAATGCTTCCGTACTGATTCATGATCGACAAAACAAAAAGTAAATGAGCACCTGTTGCAATGCTCAGGCAAGCAGTGCTATAGTCTCTTGTTTTTGAAAGGGCCAGGGAGAATGAACTGTCCCCTGAAGTGGGATTCGAAGTGGAGAAATCAAAGAAATCAAACACAAACACACTCCTCTAACCCTAACCCCCCCAGAATTCAGGGATTCCACTGATTACATTTGATGCCCTTTAATTATTACTTATAGTCATTCATTTTACCCATACTTATGACAATCGATAGTTTTCTGAAATTCATTTTGCAAATAGACTTTTTCCTCAAACTCTTGCATGCATAAAAAGCAAATTAGAGAACGAGCACATGAAGGCATAGACAAACCAGACAGATAGAAAGCTCAGGGATTCACTGTAATGCCAGTTTGACACAAACACAAACAAATGCAATGCACACATGGATGAGCATATGCACACACAGACACATACACACAAACAAAAGGGGAAAATACAGATGGCTTATTTTCTGCCAGTTCTGATTATGGTATGATTGCTGGCTTCTAGAAAAGCTGGTGTTATGTGCCTGGGAGCTCTCTCAAAAGCAATCAGAGGGTCTGCTTGTACTAATTCCTCTCCCAGATCGCCTCCAGATACAGTAGCTGCAGGTATGCACAAGGTTAAAGCACTGTTAACACACTGTAATGAGAGCTATGTCAAATTCCATGCTTCATTATTTTCGCTGACAAGATTGGTAAGAGGTTAAATTGTCCATTTGTTTACAGAGCTAATTAATGATACATATGTGCCTTTCTCAGATGGAGGCAATGCGTTGGAAGACGGGTGACCCGTCCCTGCCAGCCTCCGTGTGCAGTTTGCCATGTCGTATGGGCCAAAGGAAGAAGGTTGTGAAGGGAGTGCCCTGCTGTTGGCACTGTGAAAGCTGTGAAGGATACCACTATCAAGTAGGTTTCTTTAAAAAAAAA